TATATATATATATATATATATATATATATATATATATATATATATATATTGCACACACACACATATATATTGCTTCATATGCATAACATATATGCATTACGACACTTACACACCCAAATACATTACCTGACTTTATAGCTTTTAGTAATGCATATTTTTAGTTTAAATAAATACACCTTGTATTACTTTTTTGGATTTACAGATAAATTTTCAAGTATTGCTGACTGGCAGCAGAAGGAAAAGGGCTTCCACGTGAAGAAAGAAAGAACATTTGGAATGTCCATCAGGCATGATAGGTACCAAAAGCAGCTGGTTTTAAAAAACCCAATAAGCAATACATCTTTTGCATAAAAAGTTGGAAGATCTTGTAAGTAAAATATACAAATATGGTATTCACCTTTTAATTTTTCCACAAATTTTTTTAATTCTGTACATAGATTGCCAATGTGAGATCTGTCAATATGGTTTTCAGGCCCCTATTTCTGGGTTATTTAAGAGATGGACAAACCCAGAGATATACCCAGGTTTTATTTACACTGACATTTTTATTTTATTTACAAAATTTTTAACTATGCACTAACAGCCTGATGTATTACTATATGTAGTGGTGTCAGAGTGGGCATGAGCTTGATAAAAGGTACAGGGACTAACAAGCTTTATAACAGGTACAGGGACTACCAACTTGATAAAAGGTACAGGGACTACCAAGCTTGATAAAAGGTACAGGGACTACCAAGCTTGATAAAAGGTACAAGGACTACCAAGCTTGATAAAAGGTACAGAGACTACCAAGTTTGATAAAAGGTACAGGGACTACCAAGCTGGATAAAATGCACAGAGACTACCAAGCTTGATAAAAGGTACAGTGACTACCAAGCTTGATAAAAGATACAGGGACTACCAAACTTGATAAAAGGTACAGGGACTACCAACCTGGATAAAAGCTACAGTGACTACCAAGTTTAATAAAAGGTACAGGGACTACCAAGCTTGTTAAAAGGTACAGGGACTACCAAGCTTGATGAAAGGTACAGGGACTACCAAGCTTGATAAAAGGTACAAGGACTACCAACTTGATAAAAGGTACAGGGACTACCAAGCTTGTTAAAAGGTACAGAGACTACCAAGTTTGATAAAAGGTACAGGGACTTATTACCAAGCTTGATAAAAGGTACAGGGACTAACAAGCTTGATAAAAGGTACAAGGACTAACAACTTGATAAAAGATACAGGGACTACCAAGCTTGATAAAAGGTACAGGGACTACCAAGCTTGTTAAAAGGTACAGGGACTATCAAGTTTAAAGGTACAGGGACTACCAAGCTTGATAAAAGGTACATGGACTGCCAAGCTAAGCCATGCAAGTTGTTTTACAATAAAATACAAAAATACACATGAACCTTTTATTATATTATGGTATGGACTGTTTTTAAGTTGCCAGTTAAATATAAATTCATCTTTTGGGTGATGTATAGATACTGTCACTTTAAAGTTCCATCCCACCCCAATGTTTTCTATTCTTGAATAGCTAATGATTATATGCATCATTTATTTGGTATCTGCATAGTTATGTATGATTGCTGTTGAAATTTTTTAAATTGTGATTGAAGACAGGATCAGATGTATTAAAAAATAAAATCAATGAATACCACCTGATATTAAATTCACACAAACAAATCTCTTGTATGAAGGCAAGCTGAATAAACCTTAAAAATATTTGTGCATCCCATTTAATGATATTGTAATTAAATCTTGTCTGAAGAAATTAAATTCATTTAAATTTAGGGTTCAAGAGCTGCACTAAGTTGGCATCTCACTTGCTTGCCTAGGTTATGTTGGTAGTGATAATAAAGAATTGCACTTGGCAGGTATTGTAGTTTTTTAAAGAGAGGCCTTATGCATACATGGGAAGGTAAGCTTAACCAACAAACTAAAAAATTGATTCCATCAACTAATTTTCTTTATTTTATGGGTAGTAAATCTTCTATTGTGGAAATATTGGACTTCTGTGTCTGTGAAAAAAAAACAACAGTTAAGACATAATATTCTACCTTTTTTATTACTAAAGACTCACACCAACCCATACTCAGGAATAGATTATTGATTTTTCCTAGATCACTTATTTTGAGACTGTGGTGTGATTTATTTAAAATGTTGAGTATTTTCATTGTTTTTGTTACTGAAAAGGCAACTAATTTTGAAGGGGTGGGGAGTCGGTTGAAGCTCCCAATTTTCCTTTACAAGCTATATATATATATATATATATATATATATATATATATATATATATATATATATATATATATATATATATATATATATTTTACTGAAATTCTAATGGGTATTAATTCTCAGAAATGTTTTCCCAATAATCTCCATAACCAGAATATATTAGATGTGTAAAATTTTTTCATACAAAAGCATTCAAAGGAGGTCTGATGCCAATGAAGACAATAATTTTATTGTACTTTATCAATAAATGATACCAAAATATGTATTGTTTAATTCTGGATTTGCTGCTGTGTTGCTAGTAGTAGTATCCTTCCATTCAATTTTTCCCTCTGAAACTAATAAGTGTTACAGGTAATTTTTTTCTAGAAAATAAAATACAGTATATTACTCCATCCAACAACAGTAATTCATTCCTCTCTATAATGTCTAATAGTTACTTATTAATTAACAAACACACTCACTACTCAATAATACAGAAAAATTTATTGGTGGCCAGTATTGTAACTCTCCTGGTGTATCAAGCCCTTCAATAGGTTTTGTAGGACAATACAAATCAGTTATTATAAATTTTCTTTTCTGTCCTTGAAAATAAATTGATGTGAAAGAATTAATTTTTGGTGATGATAACCTTGTCAAAACTTATCTGAAATTGGAAAGGGTGGGGTAAAAAGAGTACGGTCAAGAATTACAAGACTGTTTTTGGGGGGAAACAGTTTCGCTTAAGAGTATGCTCCCTTGGCTGTTGGCTTGTACTTGGGGCTAGTAACAACTGGTTATAATAGTGTCTACCTAATATAGTGATCATGGCTTGCATGTGCTGCTAATGCTATTGGTGTTCAGTACTGTTTGTCACAGAACAAATCCCATTTCAGTTGCTTGAAGCTTTGGGGCTTGGTCCCACAACATGTAATCCTAAGTTTACAGACACAGGATTACACAAAATATGAGGTCATACTTACACAATATATTGGTAACAACAAGTGAGAAAATATTTTTTTTTTATAAACAAACATAAAAAACAACACCACCACCATCAAGAACGAAATTCCCCTACCCTTACAATATAAGACATATCATATATTATTTAGGATTTGGTGCTACAAAAACATAAATATCAGGTGATACACCTTATGTTGTAGGACTATGCCCAACCCTGAATCCTGACTTAAGTCATGATGGCATTCAGAGCAGACAATTTGTGTCAATTGTTAGAATTTAATTGCACATACCTTTAAATGGTAATTATTCATTTCATATGGAATATGGATCCCTAGGCATATATATATATATATATATATATATATATATATATATATATATATATATATATATATATATATATATATATATATATATATATATATATATATATAATTTCCTTCAAAGGTCATTATTTACGTTCCCCGAGATGCACGTGCCGCAAAATCCATGTTAAAGTATCTGGAAATTTTGGACCAAGCTAAGCTGTCATCCTGTACAATGCAGAAAGTCGCGCGCTGTGATTGATAAAGAAATTTGTAGCGCGTTGTGATCTTTTTTTCCCCCACAAGAAATTCGTACTAACCTTTGCGGTGACGATTAGACTAGACGCGCTTTTTTTGACCCAGTTTAGTACTTGACCAGCATTTCAAAATTTATTGCGAGCGATAATTTTAGTTGTAAAGTTTCCTGATAACTGAAAAGGTGCAGTTCATTCAGTAAACGAAATTTAAACGTCTTTGGTTGCGAAAAATTATTAATATATTTAAAAACAACAATTTATATTTAGTTCAGTAAATGCGCTGTTTTTTTGGGGGGGTATAAAACTATTTTAATAAATGACTTGAAAAACATATGGATTGTTATTGTATTAATTTGCACATCTTATTCAATTTGAAATATTTCGTCATATTTATTCTTGTAAAATATAAATACAACATATAAACCTGTAGACTCTGTTTTGGGGGGCCCCGAGTGGCCTAGTGGTCTAAAGCGCTGTCCGTTACGGATCACTGCCATCTCACCTCTGCGCGGGTTCGAGTCTAGAATTCGGCGAATGTACACAAGTGAGAAAGCTTGCCAGTAGCTTCTCGTGGGTCGGTGGTTCTTTCCGGTGATTTCCCGGTTTCTTCCTCCACCATTAATACTGGTTGCCATGTGCTGAAAAAAGGTGTTAAGCCCAACAATAAGAACAACTCTATTTTGGTCTACGTCAGCCGTCATCTAGGCATATTCAGTCTTGCGCGCTACAATTGGCACATACTTAAAAGTTTATTCCGGATTGCGTACCGTAGGGAACATGACCAAGAGACATGATGATAACCGGATGTGGCACAGTGCCAAAAAGAAAATGCGGCTGTTTGTTTACAGATGAATAAATGTAGCAGGTACCTATGATAGTTCCATTGTATGGCAGTATTATAAATTAGAAGCATCCCATGTAATCCGTTCTTACGTATTGGGTAAAATGAAAACAAAAATCCTGGCAGTAAGCTTAACCAAAGAAAACAAAACTGACCATAACTGTAACCCTAACACAAAATACTAAACCTAGCCGTTAACTTATGATTAGGATTTTTCGTGCAGCTTTTGCAACTTTTAAGTCATAGAAGTGTGGCAGTTTATAGTGATGTCTAGTACTGGGTCAATCATGCCGCAAACACGTACCACGATGTCTAACCCAGTCGTTGGACATACGGGCACCAGGCTAACCAATTTTAACACTGACCTCTTAATGCTGAGCGCCTAGCGAAGAAACTCTTAGTACAATTGTTATAAGTCTTTGGATATGACTCTGTTAGGGGTTCGAACCCATGGCCTCCCGCATCCGAGGGGTGACGCTCTAACCACTAGGCCACCGGAAGCTATATTTTATTGGCTACATATAATAAGAGAAAAACAGATAAAATGCGACTTTATTATTAAAAAAAAGTTATGTGGCAGCGAATATAATAAGAGAAAAACAGATAAAATGCTACTTTATTATAGAAAAAGTTATGTGGCAGCGAATATAATAAGAGAAAAACAGATAAAATGCGACTTTATTATAGAAAAAGTTATGTGGCAGCGAATATAATAAGAGAAAAACAGATAAAATGCGACTTTATTATATAAAAAGTTATGTGGCAGCGAATATAATAAGAGAAAAACAGATAAAATGCGACTTTATTATATAAAATGTTATGTGGCAGCGAATATAATAAGAGGAAAAACAGATAAAATGCGACTTTATTATAGAAAAAGTTATGTGGCAGCGAATATAATAGAGAAAAACAGATAAAATGCGACTTTATTATATAAAAAGTTATGAGGCAGCGAATATAATAAGAGAAAAACAGATAAAATGCGACTTTATTATATAAAAAGTTATGTGGCAATTTAATGATCTTCTTTATTAAATGTAAATTGATGTGACTTCACGCTGTAACTTGTACTTAATTTGCTAGCACAACCTAAAGCTGTGTGGTCTTAATCGAAGGTCATGTCCTTGGCATGCAAAGAAAGGTCGATAGTAAGATCGGAAAACGCCGCAAAATCTCGCAAAACAAACATGTTGTAAATTGGGAAATAAAACACTCTCAAAAGAAATATTGGCATTTTATATACGCCGATATTAATAAAGTTACATGTATTATTTTATGATAATGTGTATATGATTCTATTTCATCTGAACAACATGCGACTGGAATATGCTGGAAAACGCATAATTACTGTTGGGAAACACCTTCATCTTTTCATAAACGTACTTACATACAATGTACATGATTTTCTAAACGTGTATTTTTCTATGATGATCAAATGTTTTAAAGTTTGATTCATGTAATGTTGTTAGTAAGGCCTAGAATGATTGCCGGAAAACATCTTTAAGTCTTATAATGTGCCATACTTCATGTATGAATTTTTAAACAGTCACAATTTATTTGATAATCAGCTTTCAAAGTTAACGACAAGCTGTTACTCATATGCCAAGAAATGCGGCCGAAAACAATATAAAGGATCTCTCCGGGTTTGTCGCGTTTTCCGCTCTATCTATGCACATTGTAAAGGATATGACTCCAGATTCTGTTTTACATAATAATATCAACTTTTTCCAAACATTTTAAGCAAAAAAAAAAAAAACGTTAATGAAATCCCAATTCTGAAAAAAAATATAATTGTAATTAACTAATTTAAAAACACAGGAACAAAAATAATCCAAGTTTATTCGATGCAATCAATCACAGTAATAACAATCTATTCTAATTATCCTTTCAAACATATTACTTTTTGATGGTTACATTACCAATTATAAAGTATTAATTATTCGCGGTTACATTACCAATTATCAAAAGTTGAATTAAAGAGTATAATTCGAACATAGGTCCAAAAGAACTTAACTGAAATTATATAGCAGACATGAACAAAATGAATAGCATGTAAAATTAAAATTGTATTTAGTGTAAAATCTTTGTAGTGAGGGCGATTCTTTTGGGAATGGGCGCATTTTTAACATTTTACACTTTTGAAATGGGTGGTGACGTTTTTGGCATAGAGCGATTTTTGAAATCGGAGTGATCTTGTAAAAAAAAAAAGTGGGACCGGGGGTGTGGGAATATTTGGTATTTGGCGACTATATATGTCACCACTAGTATATAACAAAATCCATGAAGCATATGTCCGGTAGATATGGAAATATAACCAATATAAGCGCAGAACTTCACCTTAGGCATGCGAACACGCTTGAAGGCCTGCATTATACGTGGAAATAAATCCGTCAAATATTGACCATGAACACGTCATAGTGGTTGTATTCGTCAGTACTGAGAAATAAATCCGCAAACTGTGAAAAATAAATTTGGAGAAAATGGAGTACGCTAATTGAGCCCTGCACTTGGTATCTAAACTAGGTCAAGTATTAGTTTCGATGTGTTTCTATGTTACTGTTTGTCATAAAATTCGGAGGGCTACAGGCATGGGGGTGGGGTGGGTGGGATGAGGTTGTGAAGAAAACAAAGGACCTTATAAAGTAACCAAAATCGGTGTTTAATCGGGTAAGGTTTCATATGAGGCTAACCATTGAAACAAAATGACCTGAAAGCCCTACTCTGCAAGTGGGGTTACCTAGTAAGAACCCCGAGTATCATAACTGGTTCATTGTATACTTATGACTATTTTGAGGAAACCTTTACTTTCTTTTCATTCTCAATGACCTTAGCATTTGATGTATTTACTCCAAAATTGATAACTGCTTTTTTTTGTAATCTGATTACATCAGATCTCCACTGTCCTAGGTAAGGATCTCAATACTTCTTTCATTCGTTCTTACCTTGTCCAGTGGCTTTATTTAACATAACAGTTTTTTCCTTGCCAATAACTACAAGTTGTTTTCAAACTTTTGACAGGGCCGATGGTATAGAACTTGGATTTATTATGTGGAAATAAAATAGAAAATGGATGCATGGTCGTATTCAGTAATGGTCACGTGTAGGAATGTGTAGTGTAGCTATGGAAATTGTAATATGTAGGAAATAGTAAAATTTGAATTATATTTTTATGCATTGAAATCAATTTTGGTGTCCATAAGCGAATATACGTTGCTGCAATATTTATTTAGTGTTTTAAAAATATATGTGTATTAATGACTGTAAGGTTGTGATGTGTGCAACACCAAAATTCATAAACTTAACATAAGAATTGTGCTTGATGTTCAAAGCTGTACCAACTGAGTTAATAGTGTTCTTGGTTTTCAATTAATTTGAATTGAAGAAATATAGGTGAATTTCATACAAAACAAAGTTATGTCAAAGTAAGATAGCCACTATACAGGTCTGACAGATCATAACAATAAGCTAGATTTTGATACAATGGTGTAGGAGATTTTATATGACAAATTATATTTATCAGGGCTTACTTCATGAACACAGTAATTGCGTGCGATTCTCACTACTGACTAATTAAAATCATCAATCATTTTATGAGCAAGACACATATCATAGTAAAAACAGTTTTTGTGCTGAAAAAATGTGACCAGTTATGCACACAAACTTTGTCTAGGGTTTGCTTCATCATACTTACAAGGTTCCTCTTCACATCTTAAACTTAGTGTCCTTTAAAGGCAACTGCCTCCACCATTTTCGGCCAATGTACACTGCACCACTATTACATGCTATTGGTTAGTTGTCATTACATACTAAGGAAAGCAACTCATGAAATCCAAAATATGTCGCTAGGATCGCTAATATATCTGTTCAAGGTGTAGATAGGGTAATCATATCGGAACCTTGGCTAGTGAAGATGTGGATTTACAATGTATATTGTGATTACTAAGCTTGTGATTATTTGGCATTCACTGTCAGAACAGCAAAGTGCCAACTATGACCTGGTTAAGGAATTCACCTTAAGGGGTTATGAATTAGTCCTTTATCGGCAAAAAATCCGAACTATACAAACGAACTAGTGTAAAATTTGCAAGAGAAAAAGAGCGGTTATTTGATAGGTGGTGCTTAATTAAGAAAGTTGATCAAAATTATGAAAGTCTCAGACAGCTTGTATTACTTGATGAGTTCATGGTGACATTAAGTCCTCTTAATAGCGAGGCTGTTGTTAGTACCCCGATTTTATAAGTTTGACTCGGTCGGGATTTGAATCCACAACATCCCATATTCCAGGCGATCGCTCTGACCGCTTGACCACCGGATCGGTCACTGGGAAAATTTTATTTTGGCACATAAATATGAATGTTGAAAAAATAATATATGCTTTCAAAAAAAAAGAAATAAACGAGTTACCTTTTTCAAAATCACAAATAGTGCACTTAAGTTATTCAGCAATTATTTAAATTATAGTCCGACTCTGCATGCCCGTTTGTTTCTACCCCCATCCCACTGATTTCAATAACGAGAAGGTTTAATGTGAAAAATAATGCACAGAACAAAGTCATTTTAATCATTTATTTATAATTTCTAACCTAACTGTGACCTGAATGGTACTAATACTGGTACCCCCTTGCACCTTTCATGCTTATCGGACTTTCCATACTAACACGGCGCCATATTCCGTACAATTTGGGCTATATTTATTTCCAAAATACATAATGACATAGTGGGGCCCCTAGTGGCCTAGTGGTCTAAAGCGCTGTGCGTTACGGATCACTGCCATCTCACCTCTGTCTGCGTATGTTCGAGTCTAAGATTCGGCGAATGTGGATATGTGAGAAAGCTTGCCAGTAGCTTCTTGTGGGTCGGTGGTTCTTTCCGGTGATTTTCCGGTTTCTTCCTCCACCATTAATACTGGCCGCCATGAATAGCCTATCGTGTGCTGAAAAATGGCGAGAAGCTACTGGCAAGCTTTCTCACATATCCACATTCGCCGAATCCTAGACTCGAACCCACGCAGACAGAGGTGAGATGGCAGTGATCCGTAACGGACAGCGCTTTAGGCCATTCGGGGCCCCTGATTCCCGTAAGAGTAGTGCGGTATCCAAAATGTTATATTACATAACTTTTTCAGCTCGTGTCAAATTAATAGTACTGCGCTGAAGTTTAGTATGCAATATCTTTAAATCATAGTGTACGAAAGGAACTCTCTATTATAGCTATTCTAAGTCAGAAAAAAGACGCAATTATCAATTATCAGCTGACAAACTTTCAAAGGAAAACAGACTCGATGATCATTATGGATGCAGTGCGGAACGAGCTGCAGTATTTTAAAATTATAATGAAAGACTGAGTCAGAAAATAACATGGAAAGTCTTACCTATTATAGGTAATCTGTGGTATTCACTGTGTTCCCGATTTGAATCCAAGAGCATATTTTAAGAATAGGTGTGGTACAGCACATCTATGCAAAAATAAGTTTTTAACTACTTGACCACTTGTTTA